ACTGTGCATGAATTGTGGTATAACTTTTGTGTCTGTGGTTAAAACAAGATGTTAATTTTTTTCTCCGGCATCTTGATTGATGCTTATAATGAAATTGTGGTGTGTGTCATGACAGGCGTGGCGTACTGGTGTGTTCACTGTGCAGACTCATTGGCATGCTTGAGAGCAAACGTGAGAGGTCACGGGCCTACGGCAGGGTGTGGCCAAGTAAAAAATAAAAAAATCTCCAAAAAATCGCTAGTTTTATTTAAATATAGCTAAAATAGCTCCTTGTCGCAAAAAAATTAAAAAAAAGTCGCAGCTACAGTGAGAAAGTAGCTAAATTTGGCGACAAAATCCCCAAATTGGCAACACTGCAAGTCGGACACTTTTTGCTCCCGGTAGTGACGCTCAGAGCGTCACGCTCTCATGGTGTTTGCTTACTCTTATCACAGATGAAGTGAATTAAATGCAATATTTGTCAAATATACAGACGTTTCAGAAAAGTTTTCGTGAGCAACAGAAACACTTTTTATATACTGCTTAATACAGCAACATCTGTTCATGAATAAAGTTCAACATAAACAAAATGACCCGAAGGCCAAAAATGACACTAATTTTATTTTTGGTCCAGAAAGCTTATGTTGGAACATTTTTATAATTTTTTTTCAAATTTTTTATGTAGGTTTTTCTATTATTTTTTTGGTGATTTTGATCATATTTACCTTTTATTCTGGGTATTTTTAAGAAAACATAAGCAAATAAGCAGTTTTTGTACATTATTTCACCAAAAATATATATTGAAACATTACAAAATCCAAATTTAAAAAAAAAAAAAAAAAAAAAAATTCTAACTGAATTATAACCTAAATATATGCATATTCAAACAAATTCATAAATATGAAATAAATATTTAACATATTTAAAAAAAATATAAATATGATATAAACTCATTGGTCTCCACCACATCACTCAAATCTAACTGTGTTAAGTCAAAAAAAATGGAAAAATGACAGTCATATCCAAGCAGAAACATGAAAAATATGTTTCAAAATGACCCGCGAGGGACACTTTTGTTACTTTTTTTTATTGCACCCATTTAAACTCCTCGAATCCACTCAAAAAAATGTTGTGTATTCCAAGTGTGACAAAAGTGAAGACATCTTGGACCGGTACGATCAACACACGATTTTTAGAATTTTTTTGAAAAAACTTTTTGGGTCAAAATGACCTGAGGAACGGATGAGGGTTTTAAACTATACATGGACATTAAGCAGCGCGCATAATTATTGTTGGTAAATGCGTACGTTAAGACGGTTTCAGCCTGATACGCACGGCGCGCACCTGCTGGTACAGCGCCTGACTAAACTTGAGTTATTTTTCGTGCCTTGTGCTTAAACGTTCAAATACACATAGTTATGTGTCAAAATGGCAGTCTTTGTGAGCATCCTCGTCAACACAGTCAGTTGTGTCTTACATGAACGTTAATAGTTAAAGCATGTGTAGTAGTAGGCTATATGAGATCCTGGCATTATACGATCTTCACCCAAAAATGAAAATACTGTCATCATTTACTCACCCTCAAGTTGTTCTAAACCTGTATGAATTTCTTTGTTCTCCTGAACAAAACAGAAGATATTTTGAAGAATGTTCATAACCAGAAAGTTTCTGGTCCCCGTTGACTCCAATAGTGTTTTTTTTTTTTTTTTTTGTTTTTTGGTTACCAGTATTGTTCCAAATATAT